AATGCCACCGAATATAAAAAAAAAAACACTTTACCATAACAACAATTAAACATTGGAATAAGTTACCCCGGGGAAATGGGAGAATGTCACTCACTAGAAATATTTGGGGCTGTTTGACAGCATCCCTGGATAACCTAATCTAAGGCTCTACTTTGAATAGAACATTGTACAAGGTCTCCAGAGGTCCTTTCCAACCTAGACTTTCCAATGTATTCTACAGTTCTGTGAAACTCTAGAAAGTTGTGATGTATTTGAAATTTGATGTAGCCCTCCAGCCTCTTCAAAACCAATTCCTTTGCCTGTAATTACCTCATCTTAGAAATACTTCATCAATACTACCATTTACTGTAACTTCATAATAAGCAGGGAATGCTTTGAAAAGTTGCTGTGCAGTATGCTATTAGATATTTTTCTACCACTCAGCATGACAGTAACATGAACAGAGGGAAGAAATAAAAGACTGATTGTCTGGCAAATGGATGAAAATCAGCTTGCTCCTTCCTGTATCTACAAAGATGGCTGCATATATGACCTTTTCATCTCCTTACTGATGTAGAACTGTAAACTTCTGAGTAACATCATCTATTCTGTCATCTTGGGTTGAAGATTGACATGTTGGCCTTAAAGATAGGAGGAGTGGGAACCCTTAGATGCTAGACCTTAAAGATATATTGAGGCACATAATAGGATTTCTAAAGGCAGATGGATATCTAATTGCTAGTAATTATCAGGTATTTAGATACAGTAGAAGTTTATATTGAAATGCATTTCTGAACTTTTAATTTATTACCTTAAAAATGCAGACAAAATCCCTTGCAGGCAGTAAGAATGAACCATACAGAGCAGTGCCTAGGGTGAGTGCCTAAAGGAGCGATTGGACTGAAGATAATACAGATCCTAAAGAGTCTCCCAAAGGTTCCTATAAGTCATTTTTTGAGTCTAAAAAAACAAAATCCCAGGCAGGAAAGGCTGAGTTGAACTTTTCAATGCAATCAACTCTCTGCAAACCAGATTTGATGGTAGTCTTTGAGCTGACTTTCAGGTAGCACAGGTTTTCACATCATCCCAACTGAGCAACTTCTGCAAGAATATTCACCAAGTGATGTACACACCCCCCGGGTGCTCTCTGGGTTGGTGTACAAAGTTCACATGATTTGCTGCAGATCCAACTTTATGGTTCTGGATTTACTTGAGGTTAGAGAAGGGGAAAAGTCAGAAAAAGTTCATTGCAAACTCTGAAACACCAACAATGCATCCACTATTCATATTGATCTGGAAATTCAAATGAAGTGAAGATGGAAAGAGCATTTTCAATGGAAGAACATTTTCAATTTTTCCATTAGCAAGAGAATTTTATTCAACATAATTGTTTAGAAAAAACAAAGATATTAAGAAAATTGGCAAGCTTGTCACCTCCACATTAAACATGGGGAGAAGGTTACTGAAAAACCATGCTGAAACAGGAGATATTAAGTCATACAATTTAAATAGGAGAGGAGGTAAAAGCAGCTCAGCTACTGAAGAATGTCACTGAAGGTGTCAGTTGGGAGCAAGAACTCCAGAGACAAGTATGGAAATCAAAATACTTTCTCTGCTATCCATTACTGATGGGGGTTAAAGAACAGAAGAGTACTCTTAGGAAAGGAAAAGCCTTTTTGCAGCCAGTACACAAAATTACTCTCACTTTGTCTTGTATTGCACAATACACTCTGTATACCTTTAGGCCACATAGCTTTGATGATTTGTTATTGGTCCATATTTCAAAATACAGAGCTGTTCAGTTAATCATTTATAAAACTGATGAACTGGGGGAAAAAGTCTTGGTTTGACAATTAGAACTGACCAAGGGAGAAGGCATAGCTCTCTAATTTGGAGACATAGCATCAACATAAAGGCATAATTTTGCCAACGGTAGTTGATAGCTCCATAGTCTTTGGTACAACATGAAGTAAAGCTGCTAGCCCACGTTGCCTGCTATGGACTCTGTAATAATTTTATCTTCTGGCTGGACTGTCTCTAACTGAATATATTAAACCTGTGCTTTAATTGGTTCTGAATGCCAAAATAATAACAACCATCAAAACATAAGGAACAAGGGAAGCAGCAGTCTTTATAGTTTTGAAGGCTGACTCTTCAGAGTTTCTTCAGGTATTTCAAGTAGTAATAGCAGCAGCCACCCTCAGGACTAGACACATGTGCAAGAGGCAATACTTGCTTGTTCACATAGCATTCACATGTCATCACAAAATGCTTCACATACTGCAATTTAAGGCTTAAAGCAGATGGATCCCAGTTTATTCTTAATGTACATATACCTGTTACAAGACTCACATTATTTCTCAACTTACTACTGACCATTCTCACAAATGACTTCTAGACTAAGCAGCTCTATTTCTGGTAGTGTAGCTCTCCAGTTGTTTTCATGTGATGTTTTTCTAGGGACTAAGTCTTTAGTTCTCCTTCTAGTGATACTTACAGTGAAAAAACAAAGGATATATTTCCAAGTAATTGGAAATAGGCAGTCTAGGAGACTTTAAATAGGAATAGATATACCCATCAGCATAAAATTGTGCGTCTTCAGAAAGAAACAGATTGAGATTAGTTTATAATTTCACACTCAGCATGCAATAGAAAACAGTTGCCTGAGCTCCACCTCCCTGCAAGAACACGGCTTCAACTGCTGTAAATCACCTTTATTGTGCTACATACATCCAAAATAAATGTATAAAACATTTCTATTTGACTACTTGAAGTATAACAAGAAGTAGTTTCCTTTTTCAGTGGATATATATGCAAGCTACAATTAGAAACATCCACCCTGGAGGTTTATCCTCTGTGTTAGAGAAACAAAGCAGTATAGGCATCTACAGAAGACCAAGGACACTCACCTTCTGCTTTCCCCCCAAAGTGGGGCAGCTACCTCTAAATTGCATAGTATGGATACAAGCTGCAGGACGACATGCATGCTTCTCATTTTGTAGCTGAATAGACAAAATTTGCTGTGACTGAATTTGTAATTTCTTTATTTGTTCTTTTTGCTACTTATTACCAAGAAAACAAACACAAAGTAGTGATTACTGACGAATGCCAGTTACTGGCCAAAACAACCTTAACAGTAAGTGCTTTAAAGTCCACTTTTCTGAAAATTCCACTTTTTCTTGTGTAAAGACTGGGAAATATTGTAGTTTCAAGATTAAAAACAAACTGGTTTTGTTTACCAGTACTTTTTAAATATGGGAAAGACATATTGTATTTAATTAGAGGACAGTTAACTGCCTTGTAAAAAGCAGTCATAACAGTGACTCATGTAAGGAACAACTAGTTCCTAAAGCAGAGCTGTTTACAAGAGCAAGTTCAACATCTCACATCTTTGGAATCCTCATTTGGAATATTGGAGGAATAAAGTCTCAAGATTTCTTTTTCTTCATTCCCCAGCCAACATAAAAGAACAACACACAATTTTTTGTGGTTTAGAAGGACCCTAAAACTCTTCTAGCTTTCTGTCGGTTACCAAAACCCAAGCCACAAGCTAGCTCTTTAGAAGGGCATTCTTATTCAGTAGTTTGTCATAATCCAGATTTAAGGCATCGTGTGTTGGATGCAGTCATAAGACAGAAGTAACACATAAATAAAATGCTGTTTAACAGTTAAGAATTAAGTATCTGGATGCAAGCTTAAAATACTCATCCCATATAAGGATATTACAAATTACCATGGATAAGTAAAAAAAATGTTTAATTTTTTCTGTTTTCCCCTTTTTGTAGCAGGGAGAGGGGGGAGTGTGGAATAAGGCAGGCAAGTTTTTTTCCTAGTCCATCATTAATTTAGAATAATTTAATTTAGAGGAACTTAAATCTGACACAGCCTCAGTCCAGTTTGATGAGTCCAGTTGCACTAAACTCATTTGTTGAATAATAATGCAAGACACAGACACTTGTAATATTGTATTGTTCCATCATACCTGCTTCAATTGATGCTATAAACACCACCACAGTTCATGGTTATTTATGACAGATTAAATCAGAGTAAACAGACATTCAGACTAAGCTCGTAGACCAGAAAGCTTATTCGGCCAGTTTGTAAGAGGTCCTGCTAACCAGCTCCTAGTGATGATCCTGATGGATATTTCAAAATTCCAGCATAGTTGGACTGTTAATTTTAGCTTGATCAGCAAATGGTCATTTAGGTATTTAACATGGTGGTGAAACATGATGCTGGTAAACATTTTCCTTCACTCAAGCACCAGCCAATTTTTTTTTTTTTTATTTCTAATTGTATCTTTGAGTACTAAATTACATGTTGCCATGCAGCCCCAAAAAAAAGAGTAAAAAAAAAAAAAAAAAAATCAGTGATTCTCTTAAGCACCATAAGACCTATATTTCAAGATGGGTACCAACGTTGTTTCAGTGAGTTCTTTTCAATCCCTTAATCGTACAAATCAAATAGTATTAAAAACAAGCAAGCAAGCACCCATTCTATTTGAACGACAGTTGCAGCTCTGTCTAAATACTAAATGCTAGTCTAAAACAGTAACTTTCTAATGGATTTATTCTTTTTAGCAATCTTTATTAAAAGAATCGTAAAATTTGTTCTGAACAAGAACTAAGTGTTTTAATTTAGTTTCCCTACAATCAGTTTAACCCTTCTGCAAAGTTGCAATAGACAAGTTGAATTAATGAAACTTCTGAATGCAACGCAATTTAAATACCCAGGTTCCATGGTCCTCCAGAAGGAAAAAAGAAGGCATCTTTAGTAGCAGCAAACTCAGGCTGAGCAGCTAATGGGACAAGCTTCTAGTGACAGTTTACTAAATCAGCTGGGATTTTTTATTGTGGAACAGCATTTATTGAACTGACCTGATGGAAGAAGCTACAGACCTTGCCATCAGACAGCTATAGTAAGAACCTGTGAGAAACAATTCTTAGCGTGCTCTGAACTCCTAGTGTCAACTAGACTGCAAGATTGAGTTACGGAGGACAGAATCAACAACCACACTGATGTTTGTTTGGTATGAAGAGTTGCTTCTGTTTAATGTCATTAGGTAACATCACTTGAGATACTACAGTTTTGTATAACAGTGTAACATCTATAAGTTTCTCCATTTCCAGTTTGAGACAAATACTTAAATTCATAGCTTTTTTGCATTACAGAAAGTGCAAGAGAGGTTTATATACAAGACTAATTGCATGACAGGCTGAGTTGGGTACTAAGTCTGTATTCAAGTGGACTTTCTTTACTCTCCAGCAACTGCACAGGCATTTGATTTAACAATATTATTTCAAGTTTATACTTAGTATTAACATAGAAACCTCTGACATCTGCTGCCACCACTGACCACAAATGTAGACGTTACAATGAGTTATAACCAACTGACTTAAAGATCTGTTAGTAAAGATGTTCTTTAGAAAATGCAGTTTTCAAGAGATGAAGAATTACCTCACATTAGTGGCACAGAGGTGATGTATCTGTTCACAAGGACTCTAGGTGTTGAGTGAAGCCATGATTGTCTTTTTGCTTTCTAACATACTGGAAACATGCCACACTACACAACGTGACAACTTAAACTGAGCAACAACAGGGATGTTCACTGATAATATATGCAAGAAGCCTATCTGCTTGTTCCACTTGTTTACCAAGCCCTCTTAACAGCAAAGCAATCCTAGTAGATTTCCCTCCCTGAAAAGAAACATATTAGCACCAAGAGAAAAGTTAGTGTCTGTCTACCTCAGTGTTCTGCAAGAAGTGTTTCAGCTTATCTGACCCTACAGTGTAGACCTTTAGTACTCAGGACCCCAGCAGCTCTGTTAGTCCTAATGTGTAATCCCCTTATTCCACATTTATGACAGAATGATACTTTTACAATTAAAGTTAAATAGACAAGTGCTGAAGTTTTTTTTCCCCTTACTATACAGTTTACATGTTTGTGGCTCAGAGACCAAACCATATGTTCAGTCATCAATTAGAATTGAGTAGTATCCACTTAACTTTACAACTGTCTGCTGTTTTGATAACAGGCAACTGAGCCAGTTGTTTAAGGTGTGAAGTTTTAACTACTAATTCAGTTCCCTTATCTGAAGGCAACACTTCTTCCTCAGGTACATTCAGTTCCTGTATTTTAGGACAGTAATTGCTACAGAAAGAGGAATTGTCGTGACTGGGTTTACATGTGATTTAGTGTTGCTAAGCTTTTTTATGGAAGATTGCAAAGAACTAAAGTAAAGTTAACATCCACTGATTTGAATTTGGGTCTCCAGCATGAGTCCAACTCTGTTTGATTTGCCCTGAATTATCATATTCACAGCATGTTCTTTGTGGGGCTCGTGCTTCAATCCACCTGGACGTGTTTTAGATTACAGACATCATGGAACGGCAGCAAGATTGGCAGACAGCAAAGTGAAACATGTAGAAAAATCATGTTGAGAAGAGGTCCAGTTATTCCATTTATCCTTTTCCAGTTATGCCTATTATGATGAAAAGGACTTAGGGTTAGGACATTTATAAATTATAGTTTTATTGGTTAAACTAGCTAAGAACTACTGAGGACAAAACTGAAGCAATAAACAGCATCACTTGTCTTCTGTTAGAAGCCAGACAGGATTTCAGGTGAAGACTTAGAGGTGTGGCAGAGATTTGCTAGATTTGCTAGTTTGACAGTTCGTATTCTCTAATCAATAGTACAAAAGTTGGAGTTACATTAGTTTCTAGTAACAAAAGCTCCCATAACAGCCCTTATTCTGTTTTTACTCCAATTCATCCAGAGCACAAACCTCCAATTATTTAAGGGATTAAGCTTCAGAAAACTATATGGGGCACTGTGTACTAGCACTATCCTAAAGAGATATCTGAAAGAGTTTAATGATCCCCTGTGAGTTTTGCAGCAAATATTTACTCATTAACTTTCCTCAAGGAAAGGAAATCTAGATCTATTGTGGCCTTGAGAGTTAAATCCATAGAAGAATAAAATCTTTATTTCTAAGAACATGAAGCTATCTAAGTTTAACCAGAATGAAGCTATGCACAAGTCTGAGTAGAGGTACTCTAGAAGAAGTATTCTTCTAGGGACTGTTTGCCATATTTCAGAGGAGTATTAGAGTTAAGCTAGTATAGCTTTTAGCCAGCTCTTTACCAAAGGTTTTTCTGAATCAGTTTCAGAGAATGGTAGGTAGTCTTATCGGTGGAATACTTACCCGATCTATGAAAATAGGTTGCCAAAAGGATCTCCAAAAGGATCAGAAGGTGGTTTCTGAGATTCTTTCTATGGAAAGAGAGATCATAGGCTGTTAGTGGATTTACAGGTTTCATGGGGCTTACTCTGCATGGCTGTATCAGCTACTTCCAGTTCCAAACACCTTCTGGAAAGAATGCCACAGTGTCCCTGCTAAATACACATTAACTGTACTCCTTTAACAAGGCAAAGGGCCCTAAAGCTGTGTTAGCAGTTATGCTACTCTGAAACAGGGTATTTTTCAGAAAAGCCATGTGTGCTTACTGAACACTGTTTTGGAGCTGAGCCAGTGTAGTCACGATGAGATCCATTTTAACCACATGCTAGATGTCTTAAGTCAGCATTCTGGAACTGATCCAGAGTTTCCACCAAGGGCTTCAAGTGCCATGTCCCAAATAGAGTGATGTGGTTAAGCCACTTTCTCCCCCAGGGGATACTGAACATGGGAACCTCCAATTTGTTCAGTTAGAGAGCTGCTCAGCCTACTCCACAGAAAGGTAAGCATAACCTAAGTGAAAAACTTCTGTGGCTACATTATTTTAGAGTCTTTTGTAGAAGATCCCAATACTGAAGAACTTCCAGATAGGGCTTGCAGCTTGGGCAACTGGTTATGGACCCAAGACAAATGGAATCATACTTTGTTAGCCTTCTTGCAACAAATGTCCTCTGTTACATTAAATATTAGCCTCAGACATGCAAGAAGTTTTGTTCCATGGACTCTAAAACTAGAACTAAGCCAGTGCTCAAACACAGGCACCTATGTTGTTAAAGAGAAAGCAAGTTTGTGGTTTTGCTCTTAGGGTTTTTGTTTGTTTTGTTGATGCTGGCATTTTTTTCCTTGGTTGGTTGATTTTTTTTTTTATTATTATTTTTTTACTACTTACAGATGAGGCACTGGAAAGGTCTGTTTTAGCTTGACTTTCAAACAGGTCATCAGCTGGTAGAACACTTTGTCGGGGAACAGGCTTAGGTGGTTCTAAGGAAGAGACATACTGCTATAATTACTTAACAGATTTAACAAGTACTCAGCTCTGTCTGTGTAGCAACACTAAAGCTCATCTAGATACACAAAAAACCCCACATGGAAGCTACTGTGAGTCACCTCACAGCTTTATCTTCTGTTTGTCCCTCACTACACTTAAGCTAGATGGGACCTCTAACTGTACAGACCTAGTTTACCTTATTCTAGTTAAGCCGTTTAGGCACTGGGTGTCAGTGTTTGGTCACTGACATTGATCGATTGTGTAACATTATTAGGAGAGACAGCCCTTCAACCCTGTTTCAGTAACCATTAAATCAAATTTTCAGTTCTATTAAAAAAGACTAGTGATCAGCCACCCCAATCCCTGAGCAGCTATCCAAGCAGAAGGAAGAAAAAAGGTTTTACCAGTTGTTTTGTCAGACAGCTTGCTAGCTTCTACATTATTACTATCTGTACTATCTTGAGGAATGCCTACTTTACTACTAAAATAATTGCTGAAAACTCCAGAAGCACCTGAAAGGCTTTGCTGTTCTCCTCTCCTTGCTGGTACTGCAGGTGGCTTTGTCAGCTGGAAGTCTTTGAACATTTCCTTGACATCCTTCATCTCTTTATCACCAAGTGGATCCAGAGCAACAAAAGCATCGCTCTCTTTCTTGGATAGCTCCTTCTGAGGTACAGTTCTAGGTGGTGGCTGAGGTGGTCTAGTTGTTATTGAAGTGGAGGGCAGTACAGATGATGTCTGAGCAGGTAGTGTTGAAGATGGGAACACACTACTCTGGAAAGGACTTGCAACACAGGAGGGGTTTGCCCATGAACTAGATCGGACTTGTGCCGGCTGTGCCCAGAGGGCAGAAGACTGAGGGGCTGCTGGACCAAAAGATGCAGTCTGGTTCCAGATTGGCACTGCCTGAGGACCAAAGGCAAGTGGTTGGGTAAATCCTTTAGACTGAACAGGCATCACAGACCCACAAAAGACTGATGCAGCCTGAGTGAAGGCAGGTGTCTCCGCACTCCATTGTGATGAAGTTACTGGCAAGCCACCTGGGGGGGAAATTATTGTTACACAACACTTTAAGTGATCTGAAGACTTCAAGTAGGAGTATAAAAATTCCACTGAGGGTACCAGCAAAACATTTTTCATGTACTGCTTGCAAAAATCTGTTGATTTACACTTTAAAAAAAAAAAAAAAAAAAAAAAAAAAAATCAAGCTATTTCAGGGGGAAGGGGGAAGGGCGTTAACTTTTTTTATTTTTCTTCATTTCAGTCCTGGAAGAACAGAATTGAGGTTGATATAACAGAAGGAGGAACATACTTAGTCCTAGCGTAGAAGTGACAGATGCATTTGCCACATAGTTATTTCTGTGTAAATTATTAAGACTCTGAAGCAGCGTTACCCTAGCCTCCCAAGTTGTGCTTGGCTCATTGGAACCTTGTGTACTTGAAGCAGCAGTCTGCTATCAAAGTTTAAGCAGAAAACCCTGGTCCAGTTAAGAATGCAGAATTTAGGTTTCTACCTATGAACTTCACTGTTTAGGACAGACAGCACATGGATTAAAGGGCATGGCACCACATGATAATTCTGGTATTAGCAGAAATCTTAGACTGGAACAATACCTTAACTTTGTGAACTAACCTAGACCAGCCAGTTCAGGTGCTGTGGTATGACTTGTTTTGAAGAGGTTCAGTGGACTAGTTGGCACAGTTCCTGTTTGTGCCACCAACGTCAAACCAATGGTCTCTGTAGTCGGCACAAAGAAGTCTGAACTAAAGTAATTCGATGCAGTCTAGAAAGGAAAAAAAAATGCTTTGTGAGATAGCATGGCAAAACACATGCTAGCATGAATAAGACTCCCTGTCTATAACTACAAGCTTTTATTTAATCTAGAATAGAGCAGAGCGCTTTTATGTATCCTTTAAAGACTAAGTATAAGAGTTTCAAACTTCACAATTTTGTTCGTGCCTACTGAGATGTGTGGCATGAAGTAGGTATAATACAGAGTAGTCACAAGATAACAGCAGAATAATAAAACTTAAATAAAGCGACTGAATTATTTGCTATTATATGAGCTTCCTTCTGCCCCCCACCCCTCTAAATATTCCTGTTCAGTCTGCAGTGACCCCTGCAGTTGTGGCAAAGTCAGCAGTTTTGCATCATTTGAGTGCAAGACAAATGCAGCCAACCCAGAGACACTCTGTGTCTAATCAAGCAAGTCACTGAGATTGCCTTCAGTAAGCAAGTAATGCGAAACTGCATGGGTTTCTGTAAGCTAATACTAGTACCTCATTGTTATGAAACCACAGGTCGATGGGAATACAGCTATCATAACAGGTTCTGGCATTATATCACACATCAATATACATAGCAGCATACTTACCAGACCTTTACAGAAGTATGGCAGCATTAGGGAAGAGAGTATATAATTTAGTGACAATAGCTACTACAAAGCATTCAAGAATGTGAGAATGTGCCATGGCTGTGGAGAGGTTAGAGAAATCATGGCAGGAAGAAGAGAAATAGATGTGAAGTTATTTAGCCAGCTACACAGTATGAAGAAAGAAAAGCTTCTTTCACCCATCTCCTTTAAGAGCATGCATATCATAATTAATTACTTGAACATTGTTCACCTTGACAGACCTCCTTCCTCTTCCTGGCTTGGTACTTTGTGGTGGTGGGCTAATTGTTATAGACTCACATGACATGAGCTGGACATTGCTTTCAGAATCCAGCTTTACTCCATTTTGCAGGGACACTTCTTTGGAAGGACCTTCCACAGACAGGTTTGATGGGGCTTTAAGAAAGCCATTCTGTTCTCTCTCTGGTACCCCATTTGGAGTTCTTGTTGTAGGCGACTTACTCTCAAGTGGCCACTGCCTTATTAGTGCTTCTTGTTTGACAGTTCTATTAGAAATCTGGTCAAACTGTTTATCAAAGTAGTCAATATCACCATTTGAAGCACCATTACCCACCGATGTCAAGTTATTCAGACTTTCCTTCTTCTGATCAGCAGATTTTAGAGAATCAAGCGAAGGCGGTGCAGATTGGTCTGGTTGTGCAAAAGGATCATCACTGAAAGGGTCTGGATTAGGTGTGGGAAAGAAGCTGAGATTGGTAGTGAAGGAACTCTCAGGCAAGAAGTGTGGCTGTGGTTTTTGTTGTGGAAGAGAGGTTGTGATGCCATTCAAGAAGAGATCCTCTTTTGTAAAAGTCTGCTTGGTCTCAATTTCAGAATTTAGATCCACTAACAGAATCTCTTTAGCTTCCTATTTGTTCAAAAAGAAAAATAAAAGTTATGTAGTACTTGCTGAATAATAGAAAAGCTCACGGAAAACTGCTACAAAATGAGAGATCCTAATATCCAATATATCATACAAATAAGTATTCATTGTGACACTGAAGTTGCACTAAAGCTTCATTTTATAAGTCATTAATGCAAGCACTGATGGCTGTGGTGAAATAACAGCTACTTAGTTTCTGAAACTTAATGTTAAAACTATCTGTTTTAATATCCCTTAGTAAAATATCAGATGTTTGTTCTACAGCTCAGAAACCATAAAGTCATTAAGCATTAATTGCAGCTAGGCTTTCACTTGAGTCCAGAACCCCTGTTTAATTTCTAGCCCTTTGTTTTGAAAAGTTGTGAAATCACACTGCCTTAGTGTGACTTCAAGTTGCAGTCTCAGCTTCAGAGTAAGCTTGGAGAGGTATTTTCCAGTGGAAGATGTTAACATGACATTTCTACACCAAACAGGCAATAGAAGTGTAAGACTTGGTCACCAGCTGGATTGACAGCATGAATTGTATCATTTACAGTGACAGGATAAACTGGTAGTATTTTGGGGGTCATAGTGAGCTATTACAAAATTTATGCACACTTCTGTGGAGTTAGGCCACATCTTGAGCTAGGGCTACTCATCCAAAATGGCCAGAAGTCCACTCTGAGGGACTTAAGGATTCTCGAGGCCCTGTATAGTGAAATAAGAGCAGCCTCATGTTCACAAGCCCTTATCTGCATGGGTGACTTCAACCACCCTGATATCTGTTGGAGGGACAAACAGGGCATAAGCAATTCAGGAGGTTCCTGGAATGCACTAATGATAACTTCCTTCTCCAAATGATAGAGGAGCCAACAAGGAGATGTGCTATGCTGGACCTTGTTCTCACCATCAAGGAGGGTCTGGTAGGGAGTATGAAGCTCAAAGGCAGCCTTGGCTGCAGTGACCATGAAATGGTGGAGCTCAGGATCCTTCAGACATCAAAGAGGATGCACAGCAAGCTTACTACCCTCAACTTCAGGAGAACAGACTTTGGCCTCTTCAGGGATCTGCTTGGCAGAGTAACATAGGACAAAGCCTTGGAGGGAAGAGGGGCCCAGTAAAGCTTGCTGATATTCCCGACAAAGAGGAAGGCAGGTAAGAACACCAGGATACCTGCATGGATGAACAAGATGTTCCTAGACAAGCTCAAACATAAAAGAAGCCTACAGAGGGTGGAAGCAGGGACAGGTATCCTGAAAGGAATTCAGAGAGACTGTCCGAGCAGCCAGAGATGAGGTTAGGAAGGCCAAAGCCCTGACAGAATTTAGTCTGGCCAGGGGCATCAAGGGCAACAAAAAAAAGATTTTATAGGTATGTCATTGATAGAAGGAAGACTAGGTAAAACATGGGCTCTCTCTGGAAGGAAACAGGAGACTTGGTCACCCGAGTTATGGAGAAGGCTGAGGCACTCAATGACTTTTTTGCCTCAGTCTTCACCAGAAAGGTCTCTAGCCACATCATTCAAGATGTAGAAGGTAAAGACAGGGACTGGGAGGATGAAGAACTGTTCACTATAGGAGATGATCTGGTTCGATATCATCTAAAGGAACCTGAAGGTGCACAAGTCCATGAAACCTGATGAGAAATATCTGTGGGTCCTGTGGGAACTGGTAGATGAAGTGGTTAAGCTACTATCCATTATATCTGAGAAATTGTGCCAGACCGGCAAAGTCCCCTCTGACTGTAAAAGGGAAAGAACAACCCCCATTTTTAAAAAGGGGAAAAAAGAAGACCTTGGGAACTACAGGCCAGTCAGTCTTGTCTATGTGCCCAGGAAGATAATGGAGTGGATCCACCTGGAAAATATGCGAGGGCAAACGGAAAATAAGGAGGTGATTGATGACAGCCAACTTAGTTTCACTAAAGGCAAATCATGTCTGATGAATTTTGTGGCCTTCTACGACAGGGGTTACAGCTTTGGTGGATAAGGGAAAAACACTGATGTATTCTACAAGAACTTGTGCAGAGCATTTGACACTACCACACAACATCCTTGTCTCTAAATTGGAGACATGGACTTGACTGATGGAACACTCTGAATAAGGAATTGGCTGGATGACCACACTCAATGAGTTGTGGTCAACAGCTCAATCTCCAAGTGGAGATCAGTGACAAGTGGTATTCCTCAGGAGTTGGTATTGAGACCAGTGGTGTTTAATATCTTTGTTGATGACATGGACAGTGGGATTGAGCACACCCTCAGCAAGTTTTCCAATGACACCAAGATGTGTGGTGCAGTTGAATGCTGGAGGGAAGGGATGCCATCCAAGGAGGGACCTGGACAGGCTTGAGAGGTAGGCCCATATGAAACTGATGAAGTTCAGCAAAGGCCACGTACAAGGTCCTGCACATGGGTCAAGGAAATTCCAAGCAAATACAGGATGGATGATGAGTGGATTGAGAACAACGTAGCAGAGAAGGACTTGGGGATATTAGTAGATGGAAAACTGACCATGACCCAACAATGTGTGCTTACAGCTCAGAAAAACATCTCCTGTGCTGCATCAAGAGAAGTGTGGCCAGCAGGTTGAGGGAGGTGATTCTGCCCCTCTACTCCACTCTTGTGAGACCCCACCTGCAGTGCTGTGTCCAGCTCTGGGGCCTCCATCATGAGAATGACAAGGACTTGCTCTAGCAGGTCCAGAGGAGGCCACGAAGATGATCAGGGAGCTGGAGCACCTCCCTTATGATGACAGGCTGAGAGAGTTGGGGTTGTTCAGCCTGGAGAAGAGAAGGCTCCATGGAGACCTTCCAGTACTAAAAGGGAGCTACAGAAAAAGTGGGGAGAGACTCTTTGTCAGGAGGTGTAGGGATAAGACGAGGAGGAACTGTTTGAAACTGAAAGAGGGTAAATTTAGATTAGATGTAAGGAACAAGTCCTTCACTGTGAGGGTGGTGATGCACTGGCACAGGTTGCCCAAAGCAACTGTGGCTGCCCCCTCCCTGGAAGGGTTCAAGGCCAGGTTGGATGGGACTTTGAGTAATTCGGTCTAGTGGAAGGTGTCCCTGCCCATGGCAGGGGTGTCAGAACTAGGCGATCTTTGGGTTTCCAACCTAAACACATTCTATGATTGTATGACTATCAATACAGGATTATCTCTCATGGTCTCAAGTGAGCTTTGCTGGGTAAGAATGACATTAGCTACTCTAGTTAATAAATATATACTGTTATACCCTTGAGACACTAGTGCACTGATGATGGCTAGACAGATGTTTCAGTGAAACCAGAAACCAGGATTAATAAAGTAATACCAGATCTTATTATGAGGACTAAATTTGGTCTCAAAGCAAAATCTAAGACAGCTAAGCTAAATTCTACTTACTGTGGAATTGCTCATGTCAGGAGGTGTTGACATATCCCCAAATAAGTCCATCTGGTCAACTCCCTTGAAGTGGGGAATATTGAAACAATGGATATCTGTTAGAGTTCTTGCAAGAGCAAGAATCAAGTATTATGCAGATCTACTGTAAATACATCTATAAATACTGCATTTTCCACTCAGTGTGGAGACTGTCAGTTATGAACTTCTTAATAAGATCAGCATAAAGTTTAAATTTAACCTACCAGTTTCACTTTGCCAGCTTGATCAGCAGGTAGTCCTTCGGTACAACTCTGTAATAGATATATAACAATATCAGCAGTAATTGGAATATCAAAACTTGCCTTAAGCAAGAGACTTGCAGGCTTCAAAGAGTATGTGACAGAAAAAAAGTAGTATGAGGGAGGTCACTACTCAGTATTAGTTCTGTAGGACCCTTTTACTCCTATTTCAATATAATTTAGTATCTGATACTGCCTCCATAATGCTGGCAGTGTAAACAAAGTCAAAGCTAGTTGTGTTGCAGCAGCATACCTAAACAAGTGAGGCTGAGTTGGAGTCACTTACCTCAATCTTGCTTGCTTCTTCACTCTAAAGAAGAAAAGAAGGCTTTCAGTACCTAGATATCGCGTAGAATATCCAAAACCTTTCAATTTGGAAAACTACTAGATCTAGAAGATAAACAAATGGCTGGTACAACTACCAAGCAACAGCTGTAACTGATCCTGGATTTAGTCAGGCCTTAGTGTTAAGTATTACAAGACCCCAAAAGCCAAGCCAACACTGAAGCACACTTTAGTTCTGTGCAGACTAATGCAGTTTCTGTAATTTTACTCACCTTTTTCTTGTTGTCTTCTTCCTTCTTCTTCATATTATATATTAGTTGGAAGAGGTCCTTAAGATCAACAACCAGAGGCTCAGCCTGAAAAAGGATGTAGATTTTAGGTCATGTACTATTTCGCCCCAGACTTCTACTGAAGCAAGCTGTGCAGCAAGCCAAGGTTTCCTAAGTGGTGCAAGAGTAAGGTTGAGATAACAGGGAAAGCAAGAATTTCAAGGGCTATTTGGTCTCCATACAACAGAGCTTACGAAGAATTCAATGGTAATGGGGCACAACCAGATTAGAACTGTTGTTAACTCCACTGGGAAAGTGGCTCTATTTTTTCTAAGCCTGCTATGTTTTTGCTAAAAAGCTTGTGGTGCAAGATTTTATAAACACATGTCAAGTCCTAATCATATTTTCTCAAAAGCACAAAGCTTATCCAAGGTCTGTGGTAGTCTCATGGGGGGAAAAACATTTTGTATTCATCTGTTTTCTACCAACTCCAACAATGAACATAGAGAAAGCTTCTATAGCTAACACCACCTTTATTTTAAACAGCTTGCAAATAGTTATTCAGCAAAGCAAGCATAAGGCAAGATTGTCATCACCTCAGATGTGCAGAGCAGACACCAACTTTAAGGGGTATCTGTACCAGGATGAAAATTTAGTGTGAATTAGAATGGCACTGCATTCCCTGCCTACCCATTAACAGGAATGTTTTGAGTGGTTGCTGAGATGGTGGCAGGTTCAACTATACCTATTTGGAACTTTTGCTTGGGGCATATAACTGCTGTGTCAGTGCCTAGGGTAGGACAAGTCCCCCTGTTCAGTCACTACCTTTGGCTCAAGCAGAGAATCCATCAATCAGATCTCACTGTTTATGTCTGAGCATCGTATTCTCTTAATCAAGGGTTTTAGACATGCAACTGCAGGAAAAGACTTTTCAGGAGTTACCAACTTTGACAAACAATAGAGCTGCAGAAGTTCTAACTTCTCAGCTAGGCAAGTCTGTGTTAAAAGCAACTAGCAGTAAGTAAAGAGCTGTCTACAGCTTGCATAATCTTATAAACTGGCAAGCAGCACCCTATGGTGAAAAGCTCTGAGACAGATTCCATTCCAGAGCACACACAGAAGGCTTTTGTACTTAATCTACAATTCCACTAAAGCAAATACAACACAAGACTCCAATAAACTAATAAAACAAGTTTAGGCGAGGGTGTTACAGCAGTTACTGAAGTAGTAACATGCTCCAACAAGGAGCCCCTCAGTCCTATCTGTAGTGGATCCAAAGCTGCCAACAGGTTCTCCAGAAAGGCAGGGAGGAATGTGTGTGAAGAAATTACTATCTTTGAAATCTTGGCTCATCAAGACATTATAATGGCTATTATAAAAACATTAGAATGACAAGCTAATAAATGATAAGTATCTAACTTGATTTCAGGTCGTTTAGGAAGCTTCATAATGCTCAGCGGTAATTCCAAGTATCTTGTTTCCAATAGTGCTTATGTACAGATTCTCTTCAGGGACACAAACCCTGTGTACAAGATTTCTACATGAGGGAAACCCATCACAGAAGGATCAGAATCTCTCCCAGAAGTAACTTTAGGAGGACCAGACCTGCTGTTCACTGGCCCCAGAAACACTACTGTAATTGCATAAGTCTGGTTTCACTGCTGCACAAGACAAAGTATCATGAGATCTGGACTATTGGAATTCTAACATTATTCCTGTTAATTTTGAGTGAAGCTCTGACTGTGACTCAAGAATTAGCATTCTCACTGACAGTAACAGGCCGCTGTACAGGAAAGCTCACAATAATGACTCTGTTCATCTATCCCACTAACGACTTCCATGGTGCATGGACATGTTAAGCAAGGTTAATCATAGTAAGCAAGGCCACCTGAGTGTTTTTATTCTGGCCTACAGAGAAACTGAACAAGATAAAAGCCATTGGCAGTACAGTCTATTCCTACTGCCCTTCTCTAGAAGAGTCTATCCATGTGTGCTGGTATTCCCTTATACCTCATAGGGCAACCAGCAAAACATTACACCCTTATCACGTATTAAGTGTTTACACAATAACATTACTCATAACAAGCGGAAAAGGGTGTCTGATCCATACCTGTTGTGCTGTTTTTATGGCAAAAAATTGGTGCTGGCCTTCTCCTCCACATATATAGCCAAAGGCACGATTGTCTGTTACATCCCGAGCAATAAAGGAGATTTTGTTTACTGGATGCTCATGCTCGATGACCTAGAATTGGGAAAAAAGATCTATTCGTTTAAATTTCTGGAGACATAACAGCTGCTGGTATTCTCTGTAGTTAGAATGATTGAGACTGTTAGAAGGCTTCAGTTTAAGACTCAGATTTATTGGCCTTTGACTAACCACAATAGGATGTAGCTATCTTTCTGGCAGGAGAAACACATTTCACAAGCCAGTTTTTATATGTGGAAGTAGTAGCATGATGCCATTAATAAATCTAGTTCAGATCAGTCTAACTTCCAGGCACCTCACTTTAAGAATCACATTAAGAGAATAAGTCATATCTTACCCCAGTTTTCTCATCTGTTATCTTGATACCAGAGAGGGAGATGTTCACCCAGATCCTCTGTTTGTGTTGACCCTGGGAACGGGCTGCCGCTGCAATTCCCTAAAGACGAACATCAAAGTATCGATGAAACTTCTGTTAGATTGAGCTTTAACTTGTTTCCTTACATTCTTCATGAGCCTGTGGCTGTGACTGTACTAGTGCTAATCTAGTTATTCCTATACAACTGTACAGTTAAAGCAGCATTCCTCTTGCAATATATGCCTGACTAGGTTTGAAGTGATACCTCAGAACTAGATTGTGTTTCCTCTGTAAATGTTTTAGAGCTTTAAAACTTATCTTAGTTTAAAGCAGCATCTTTACCAGCTTTCCTGGCCTGATTGAAGCTATGGGGGTGTTTTGCACTTCGGAAGTAATAATTTTTGTTGCAGATCTCATTCATTCTTTGTCTTATCTTTATCTCTTGGTGTCATTATTGCCACAGAATGTCAACTTGTGCTTTGACATCAGTGTTAAATTGTAAAGATTTCACCCCTACACAATCAAAACCCAAGCTCACTATTTGTGATCAAGTACATACTATTAGCATCCACACTGCATGCCTGTAATAGACCCAAAGGGTGGTTCCCAAGCTATTAGAGAAGTACTGTCTTGAGCAAGGGTTTACAGCTTTAGAAGTACCATCCATCTAGGATAGTGCTGTTGCTACGTTATCATTAAGCTGTATTTGAAGTTGTGCCAAAGTGATTCTGAAGGCTACCCAGAAGCTGTTTCTTACATGCCAGGTCAAGCCCTTACCTTCAGCTTCATCATTGAATCCTGACTCATTTTGTCTCCTCTTGCCTCTGGGACATCATCAATGCCAATGAGTTTAGCTTTGTACCTTACACCATCACCTTTGAATCTGGTCAAGAGAGATTCATCTGTCTTTTCTTGCCCTGGAGGCAGAAAAAAAGATTTAGTTAGGTTTTCTGGGTTTGTTTGCTGATTTGGTTTGGTTTTGTGTGTGTGTTGTTTTTTGTTTATTAAAATATAAATGTCTATGTTGTAGATTTGAGGTATTTTTAAAAAATATACCATATAATCACATATTAAAACTGTTCCTTGAGTATAGATAACAACCCCTAGTCCTCCCAGTACTGTGCACTGCAAGAAAGTTAATCCTTTAAGGTCACAATGCTCTTGCAGGATCTGGCCTCGGTTCAGAGAGTGGAGCCCAGTTCTTAATATTTGTGGACCTCAGAACAATTGTTTGCCACATAAAAGACTGAAGTATTTATAGGCAACAGTTAAGTAGATATAAGAACTAAGCAAAAATACCAAACAGAAGTGATACTTCGCATGGTCATACAGGATGTTCAACAACTCTTTCAGATGTTAGCCCCTATCTCTGCACTAGTCAGAGATCTTTGTGTGCAAGAATATCCTAGTTCCTATGCTAGAACTTTATCAGCACTGTCATTTCTAAAGCAAGTCCTGGTACCCCTGTCCCTGTAATCACTTGAGATTTTACCTAATTTGCTATTTCTGCTGTTTGTACTACTTCTCAGAACTGCTTGCTCCTCTTCTCTGCACACTCAACATATTCTAAGTGTGTATCTAGGTATGTATTTCTGCATAAGATAATATTTACATAACTTAATCTATAAAAAATTATATATTATCTGATCTACAATAATTCTCATGTTTTCTTGCTTCTCTGGACTAGTATCTGTATCTGTGTCCAACATCTCTCCCTCTGGAGGAAGGAGAGGAAGCAAGTTCAGATTCAGACTGACAGCTACCATTAGATGGTCCTGGGTCTGGTCACCTCCTCAGGAGGCTTTAACTTCTCTAGGATTCTGGAGACTTGTCAGGCTCAGCAAACAAGTCATTTAACAAGTAGGACTGAGAGCATTAGAACTTAGAGATAAATAAAGTCTTTCAAGCTAAAAACTTACCTTCTGATTATATTTATTTTACTAGTTCATTTACTCACTCTTCCAGTCAGCTTGAAACCTCAGAGTTATTTTCGCTATGCTGTGAGAATGATCTTAGTTTTAGGCAAATGCAAAAGATTATAGACACTGACTAGAGGAGGTGTTCAAGAGGTAAGCATTTCTTACCTTTCTTTTTTTCCTTCTTTGAAGGTTGTGCTTTTGGTGGAGCCTGTTGCTCAGGCTGCCTGTTGACAGTAGTAGTTTCAGCTTCAGTAGACATGATGAGATTGTGGTCACCTGTGCTTGCTGTAGCTTTAAAAAATCCAAACAACAATCAGTAGGCAGACATAATATTTAATAATGAGAATATTTCTTCTCCAAGGTAAGACCTGTTCAGGTTTCTTCTGCTGAACACTGAAGCCTGCTAATTCCTGAAAGTTTTAATAGCAATCACATAGTGACCTGACTCACTGACTATTCATCTCAGGCTATAGACAGCATGAAGTTATGTCCACTAGGTAATGAACTCTCACCTCAGTAATACCAAATCAGAAGACCACATTGACCTACATGCACAGGCTGTACTTCCAGTGACCTGTTTTAATCTGTCAATCTTTAGCTTTTTAACCTTTAAAGCTGTTTATAGAACCTCAGATATTTTGCTTTATTCTTCTTCAGCACTGTCAGCTGCATCCCTGTAACAGGATAGGACAGAATGCAAGAAACATTTGCTAGGATCTGTTCCAAACACCCATGGAGATGACACCAGAACATCCAAAACCAGCCATTAGATCTTATTCATGTTTCTATAACCACTGCAAGTCTGAGTTTATACCACCCAATAGGTAAAAGCAAATAAATTCCTTAGCCTGCAGACAGACTGCTCCAGGAAAAAACACAACAAAACCAAACCCCGTACCCTTGTATTAAAAATAATCAAGTAACCTTAGCTTTTTTTAAAGAAAATAAAACAAACAAAAACAGCAAAACAAAACAAAAACAAACAAGAAACTACAAAACAAAAAAAAAAAAAAAAACAAAAACAAAAACAAAACAAACTAACCCAAACCCTGCAAGTTATCAGATGCTATGGACTAGTATGACAACTATTCTATGAGACCCTTCTACCTCTGAAATACAAGGTACATTAAAAAAAAATCTGCAGTCACTATGTTTTGTTCTTACATAGCTGAAGCATTGAGTTGCACTTACAAAATAGAGAGACTCATATTGTCTTTGTGAAGTTCTGAAGACCATCTATACCCAGCAAGAAAGAACTGGACATTCACATCTGCTACAGAAACTGTTCTATTACTCTTTTGACTGGGTTATTGCAGTGACTTTAGTTAGTCTCTTGACTTTTAGGGTGACAAATGGAGCCAAGAGATTGTTTAGATGATTAAGTAACTGGGCTACTCTTTAGTAGTATTTTTTCCTATATCCAGGCAAGCAGCCACAGACCAAGCCACCTCTTTTATCCAGCACACCATGTGAGACACATTCTGTACTGAGATACAAGCGCCGAAGCATTACATATCCTCTAGCCTTAGAAGCTTGTAATTCTCAATAGCCTGTTCCTCATTTGCCTTAGTTACAGCTAATGCCTTATCCATTACTTAGAAGTTACCTTCAGGGTTTTGCTCTCACTTCTGCCTTTCCCTCTACCCTCAATTCATTACTAAATGAGTAAGTACAGACTGACTCATCCAGCTTGCCACTAAGAGTAATGGATGCCAGTGCCTAACTGGTTCTTAGCCTAGGAAGAGTACCAATTCCTATGTCTTTATAAGGAATTTCACCCTGAAGGCCTCCATTTTCATTTAGTCAGGAAGGAGGCTTTCAGGGAACTAGCTGTTAATATAAGCAAAGTTAGACCTAGCTGCATACCAGATTGTTTGTGAATTACGTTTAATACTGCTCAAGGAAATCAGATAGAAGTGGTCATATAGGAAAGATCTCCAGCACGTATACCTGTTCTCTGTAAGAAACTTATTTAGCCACAGGAAGGGAACATTTGATGCAAGAGAACATAAATGTTGCTGTGAAAATTTCAAGTGGTTCTGGATAGAAATAGATGTTAGAAGAAGAGTTGATATAGCAAACCATGCTTGTTTAAGAAATGTTGTCACTGAAGAGTAGCTTGTGTGCCCATTCTGACAAAGGAACAAGGGGGAAACTATTACAGCCAGCAGGGATTTTTCAGGCTACTAGCAGTGTTAAAAAGGAGTGTGCCTATTTAAAAATCACACATTAAGCCAGTAAAATGAAGCCAACTGAATTCTACTCTAAAACTAGACTAACTTGCTTGATGGTATAGTTTTGGGCAGAGATAGTCTTTTAGACTTCAGCGTAATGAGCCTCTTCCTAGTCCTTCAGAAATAGAGAGGAGGACAGACAGAGTTAAGGCTGAATCATTAGTTAACCACTCACCCCCATCTGTAAGGTTACTGTTTAGACAACACAAGGAAAAGGCCTGAAGAAGAACAGAACTAAGATATGGTCCATAGGAGCTGAGTCATAGATTTAGGACATTCTGCCCAGCTCCATGCTGCAAATAAGAAATAACAACCTTAAGGCACTGAGTCCTGCCTCTCAGTGGTCCTGCTTCCCCAGTTTAAATCGTGGAGCTACACCCACCTTTGGTGTTATACAACCACAGTAATTATCTCACTAAAGTAAAGAGGCAATAAGATGCAAAAAATCTAGGGAAGAGCAAATATGCACAAGCAAGACCTCACTTTGGCAACTGTAAAGTGGTAGAAAACCAGGTGGTTAGTTGTCATCTTTAAACTCAAGTCATCCCTCCACTGTTGCCATCTGACTCCATCCTATGGAAGCCAGACCACTTATTTGCATAGAGTCAGACAATATAAAACCCTAAGGTGGAGGAAGATGGGGAAGGATACACCAAAGTCTGCCTGAAGCCTTGCAAATACCCTGTCTTACTGTGGAAAAGCTCATTCTCAGTGTCAACAATGGCATTTGAGAAGGTTAGTGAGAGTTTTCTGGCCAGTTTACAGGACATACTCTCCTATCTGAGATCTGGCACAGCTCATCTCACCTGGTGAGAGTTTATGTACATGGCAGTTATTTATCATACCTTTGGAGTACTTTGAGAATCATATCTCTGGAGCAAGAGAATTAGTGAAAATAAGAATGCAAGGATAGAAAAGATTGCCTTAATACACATTCATATTTTACCTACTCCCTGACATCTTAATTAAGCCACAAGACTAACATAAAATTGTCTCAGTCTTTACCTTAAAATTTCACTGGAGTGGGGAGAAACATTATGTAGATCAAACTAGCAGTAGGCTAGTCTGCTTGCAGTACAGGAGTCTCAGGCAACTAAATTTGGATTCTACGTTTTAGACCCAAGTTAAGTGTAACAAAGACATTGCACAGCTTTAAGTTTGGCTTATTTTAATGGAAAGTGCTAGTGTGTTCTACATGCAAGTAACTAAGGAAGTAAACTTTTGTTGTAGTTCTTGCTCTTACTTGGAAGGCTTCCTTTCAGAGTACTCCGTCCCTTAGTATTTCCTTAATCAGACTGCAGGATTAAGGCAACAAGAGACAAAAATTATTTTATTACACTTGAATTCTGAGTTCACCTGAAAAAAAGCCAGCCAGCAGTATGTCATTATTAGAGATGCATGTGCTTTTATACAAGGACAGGCATGCTTTCAGTTATACTGGCATAGTGAAGAACAAGATCATTCCCACAGCAACTGTCAGGCTTAAGTGATGCCTTTTGAATCTTCTCCATGTAGTTATGTCCACCACTATCATCACAGCCTAATTACTTGCTATGCAATTTTAGGGCCCATTTTAACTACTGTGTTAAAAGCATTATTTCAAAAGTCTTAGACTGCAGATTTATAGATGATGCTACCCTGGGAGAAGTGCCCCACACTCTTGCCTGTATCACTCATTACAAACCACATTTTGCTCACCTACTCAATTTACTCCAGAAAGGGTTTATGAAGACACCACTAATAGTGTCTTCCTCCTTTCCTATAGGTGTTATTCTGTGAAGCACAAGTACAGATCACTCTTTAGGGAAAGGCTATTTCAGGCCCTCCACACACAGGCCCTGAAGTATGAGCCATTACCTACTACCTCAAGGCAGGCAACTCTCCTTTCAGCATTTTACTAACGTGCACACATCTAACCTCAGGAAGTCAGTCTTAAGATTTTGACCATACTGTGCTCTTGGTGTCTTCTCTGAACTCCCTACAAGGAGACCTGGAGGTAGTGAAGAGTCAACCTTGAAATACCAGACTTGAAGCACATGCCAAACAATTTTGTGAGCAACATTTAGTTTCCCTTAGAACATGCTTTGACAGTTATTCTTTATTTGAGCAAGGGGTGGCAACATGATGGCTCCCCTCAATGATTATATTTTGGTTCTGTGCACAAAGGATTGAGAATCTTCATATGGCTATAGTCTGTCATGAGATTTTAAGCCTGGACAATAATCCTCACTCAGACAGTTTTTTTTCCCCTCAGCAATCAAAGATAATTGCCTCAGTGTTGATGAAAGTGTCTGGAAAGGTTAGGGACACTGGAAAAGTCAGAGGCAAGGCAGATAAACTACACATCTGCTCAGCAGTCTAATACTTTGTCCTTTTCACAGCCTGTGCTCCTTCTTTGTCCCTTGATACTACAAGTGCATGATTCAGCTTAAAGAGTTATTGTATGTAAATATTAACCTCAAATTAGCATCTGAGAGGCCAGGAGAGGACAAGAGAAGCTTTTACTGCCAAGTGCAATATAACCTGTTAGGATGAAGTAGTAAGCGGAAGCACAGCAACAGCTGAAGTGCTGAACAAGCTTCCAAGGCATGTTGTTCCCTCCCCTGTGCCTTCTTGAAGAGTTAGTCAAGTTCTTGTTAGAAGGTTGTATTAGGACCTGCACAATGTATCCTTAGAAATATCTCTAGCTATCGAGTTCTTGACAGAAGAGCTTTTTCAGAAGACTGGTAAACAAGCTATCCACATGAGTGAGTTCAAGACTTCAGTATTGTGGGCTGAGGAAATAGACTAAAGGTTAAATAGCAATACATTCAATGACTAGTAAGAGACAAAGCTGTAAACCCAGATATATTTACTAATAATGGACTATCTTGACTAGCAACATGCTACCCACCTAATAAGTATAATAGTGCATTTGTGTGAGCCTCTGTATGACTGACTGACATTTGCAGCTAACAAATCCCTATGTGCATTACTGACTATCACGTTTTCTGCCTAGCTCCTGCTGCAATTGTAGTGCCCCAAGCAGCCTTGAGAAGCACTAGGCATGCATTAATAGATCAGAAACATGAATGTGCTATTCAGAATTTTGTCTTTTAAAAAGGATCATTCATGCTGAGGAGTCAAATAACATATCATCTTAAGTGTTGTTTCATTACTAGAACACTCATTGCTCTAGCATCTGACAGTTGTCTAAGAGTTCAAGTTGAATAAACCTTCTGTAACATGACAAGATTACTATGATTTAGATGGAAAAATTCCAGCTGCTTGTTCTGATGCAAGCACTACCATTAGTTTTTCCTCTATTAAAACAATAAAATTAAGAACTAGCATAGCCAGTAACTAATATATATGAAAGATAGTAGCCTTGCCTATAGGCAGGTTATACACGATATGTATTGTTCACACTTATACATAAGAAGTACCTGTTTAAAGACAAGTGGAAGAGTTCATAAACAGCTTGGGAGATGCTCACCTCCATTTTATGCCATGTCTGGAATGCAAGATCAACATTACTTGTCAGCAAGATGACTTATATTACTAAGTAACCCAGGCCCCTGTGGTTAGTCTTGTAAGAGACAACTGAAAAGTATGTTGACCTACCTTGACTAACAAGTAAAGCTATCTGCCATTTTCACAATCAGTAAGGTCTAGATTAGTGATGCCCCCATCACTCAGTTTCTCCTGTTATTCCTTGATAGCAGGGAAACCAAGACCATTGTTCTCAGCCTAAGTTCCAAAAGCCTGTTTAAACTGTCCCATGTAGCCAGTAGGTAGAAACAGGATTTATGGTTAAGAAATTGTTTGGCATCATGGCCTCAGTTAAGCCAGGCACTTGACCTGTTGGCTCAATATTTCTATTTTAACAGGATTTTACTTTAGGGAACTTCTTTCATGCAACTTGCTTTAAGCCCTGTTCAGTGTTCTGTCCCCTCGCCTAAGATAGCTCAATCCTTTGCTGAGGTGTTAAGGCAGACTTATGCCAAGGGCTTCTTTTGCCAACACAAATACCCTTTTGGAATAAGCTACAACTGTACTTATATACTGCATTATATGGCACATAGTCCAGCTGTCTATCATACACAACCAGTAATGAGAAACAGGGAAGCATGACATTCATCTACTTAATGAGATAGAAGTGTGGTAATGGACATATCAGGGAATACCTCCTTCATGCTGATCCCTCTGACCAGTACCAACTGCAAAGTAGATAAAGACCTTAGTACTCTAAGTAGTCATATCAGCTACAAATGTGGGCATGTACCACTGCTAGTGCAGGATCATGCCTGTGAAACTACCCAGACATCTTACTAGTTCAGTCAATTTGCCAACTGCTATTTCATCTGTTGATCAGAACAGTCTGTTCTCATCATATAGTGCATTGGTCTCCTCCAAGCTGTTTGTTTTTTAGCAAGAACACAGAAATTCAAACTAAGTTCCTGAAAGCGTTTGCTCCACTCTTGAATCATGGCCAGGTGAACATCACTAAGTTAACAGCTTGAACTGAACAGGTCACTCAGTTCAAGTGGTGCAACTGGACCAGTACTTTTTTCCATTGTACTACAGATTTGAGTACACAGTTTCTGATGAGATAGTTACTTCCCAACCCAGTTCCACAGTCACTCTATTTTGACTTTTTCTTCCACTTGCCATGGGAATAGATACAGCTGTCACAAGAGTATTATAACAGAAAGCTCAGGAGAAGTCATGACCAGTTTAAACAAGCTGTTAAGTATTGCCCTCTGCTTTCTTTGAAAGAAGAAACTGAAATGCTTTTCATGCTATCTGGTTACTTGAAGACTTAAGCTGAGGGGAACTTGCACTGTCATAGCCTGTTTGTTAGAGCTATTCTTCAGCCAGGAACATCAGTGTCTGAAGTTAGTCAATCTCAAATTATAAGTTGTTCCAGGAACAACACAGTATATTGCAACAAGTCTTGGTAGCAAACTTTCCAATCTCTGTTCAGCATTTAGCATTCCAACCTATTAGTTAATTTCTTATATTAATAAACCCTTTCACTCAGTACCAACAATACCAGCATCTGAACTCCAGATTCTTCTTTTAGAAAGCAATTGATAGATATCCCAGTACACTTTCTTGATAGAGAACTGTTCAGTTGGTAGCACAGGCTTATTACTACATTATATACTTAGATTATCCACAAGAAGTTTTTCATATCAGTCTTCCAGAACAGATAGCATGCTAAGAGGCCACCCCTTTATACCACTCTCTCCAGTTTTGAGTGAAGCCTCATAAACCAGTGGCTCCTGAGCCAGAGTTTAGTTGCCTGTTCTAGCTGTTGCTCAGGAAAGCATCACCTGCCTACTCACAGGTAGTGCATATCACTTGATCTTTTGTCAATCCTACTTTGAATCTCACTGGGTATACCAAACCACCTGGAAGCAAAGCAGCAGTTAATCAAGGCAACTAATGTTTACTCAGATGAAAACTAGTTTGAACCAGAAAACAGCTCAAACACTTCATTTCCAATTGTAATCCTATCTCCCTCCTGCCTAGAAGGGTTGTTTCTGATCTTCTTGCTAGTTAGTATAGCAAAGGACTCTTGCCAATAACCATGCTTTTTACCTCCTTCCTTAGAGCAGGAGCTTGACACATACTGAAGCTGTTATCATAGGTTATTTCATCTGCATGTTGTTAACTGTCCAGTGCTGTCAGTTATCCCCCTTCACAGCTTGAGTGTGTACATGTTGTATTGAGAGATATTGTGTATGTTCTGTATAGCCTACGCTGAACTGTAAGTGTTCTCCACCTGTTCACTAATGTATCTGTATGAGCAACAGGATTTTGCTATGTTATTCTTCCATTCACCCAACCTAAAACCATGTAGTCATGGCCAGAGTCAGGTAGTGCAGTTTGTTTACCAAGACTGATGATCCCATGAATAGTCAAAAACCTGCCCTTAAAGATTAATTTCAGCAGTCCCACTTAGCCCCCAGCTACTGTACCTCTTGTTACATAAACTGTTGTAGCAGTCATTGTCACAAAAGCCACTGCATACTGTCTCCTCTAACAGATGCAAGTCAGGTTCATGATGTGTAATTAGAAGACTTACCTTATGTGGGCAGGATCTTCCACAGCAATTTTAGCCCTTGGGTGTTATGAAGCATACTGCTTAATACAAGGGTTACTCTTGCCTTCAAGGTTAGTCATTACCAAAGGCCCCAGATCCCCTTGTATATGCAGCAAAAAAGACAATGAATAACTAAGACACAAGAAGATGGTACAGAAAGATCTATAGCAGAGATAAAGTATTAACTAGGATTTTCAGAGCTCCATTGCAGCTCCTTCAGCTAGCCAAGTTTCACAGATAACTGTTGTGCAGTAAGTTTCCCTGTTGGTAATTGTAATTACACATATTTGTGATGTACATATGAGGAAGTCTATGTTATTGCTCCTAAATCCAGACTCTAAAGTAATCCTGACCAGGCGCTCTCTAATTTTTCATCTCCATGATGGTCTTGATATCATATTATGGGGATGCTTTCATCTGTCAGAAGCATTTAATCAGCCTTCCATCCTGCTCTAGATTTTACCTTCCATCAGTCAGGCTAGCAGCTGTTTGCAGATAGAACTAATTTGCTAGTAGCTTGAATAGCAGATCTTACTCATACAGTGACCTTTGTGCTCTCCCTTAAAGGGCAAACCCCCCTATTCTGAGAGACCATAGAAGATGCCTAAAATAAAAATACAGGTTGCAATATTAACACTCCATCCTTAGCGTTCCCAACTTGTCCTGTCCCTTCCTAGGAAGGTCTCATCCATACACATTTTAGCCATAGAGCAGGTGTATGAGAGTTCTCACAGGAAGAGACTTGCTGCTCTGTCACACATCAGCATTAAGAGCTGAGTACACTGCTGGAGGAGCTAGTACCTAGTTGACATTCTCATGAAGCCTCCTGACTTAAGTTAAAGGTCTATTATCCTGTCTCAGACATACTTGTTCTGTTCAAGAGGTAATCATCATCAAGTATGTCACCTCTCATCTTATTGCTTAAGGATACAATACGAACTGACACGACAGCAGGAAATTCAGCTTGCAGGCCAATAGTCTGTATTTAACTGGCCCTGTAATGGCTGAGCTTTGAGATAAGGTGACATGCATTAACTATGAAGCTTTATAAAATATATCCCACAGATAGTTTGGATGTAAAGGTCTACAGGGCATTTCAGCTGAGACTTCATCCTCAAACACTCCATAGCATATGCAAGACACATCCTCCCAGAAGAGGGGAAACTAGAATGGTCTATGTCCTCAACCAGAACTGACAAGAGTTAGATGGGAGAAGATGCTTTGTTCAGCACTCAGCTGCCCAGCTTGTATAAACAGGCTAATCCTGCTGAAACTGGTACCTCTTGTTTATTGCCTGGGCCTGTCACTATGCTTCATCCAGCTTCTTTATAACCCTGAGACCCTTGAACCCAGATACAGCCTCAAAATCAGGTTTCTAAAGTCAGTTTGTTTTGTCAGTTATGGTACTTAGACACCTTATTCTATTTGATCCTACTAATACAACAAAGTTGTATTTCTGTAGAGCCCAAGCTGAGGTAGAAGTAGTAGCTTATGGCTTATACTTTGTTGTGTTTCACAGTAGAAGCTGATTAGTACCCCTTTGACCCCTTCCTGGGCATTAAAATCTTGATTCTACTAAAAATCCCTTAGTCTATATGTAAAATCTCTTTTTTTTTTTTTCTCCAAAATCCTTGCAGATTGCAAGTTGCCTCCATGCTATCTCTTCATCATATCTTTTGACAGAATCTAGCCAGCAAACAGCATTTACACCATCAGTACTGTTTCCAGAACTAGCTGGCTTTCTCTGGATGTGGAATTTATTGCTTCATTGTCCAAGCAAATTCATGCTTCTGTAGTACTCACGTATTGCTAGCCTTGCTGAATAAAGTCCACACACATTCAGAAGAACTGGGTTAACCTAACAGGTCACACAAATGTCCTAGGAGTGTGAAGTTCACCAGGAGAAAAGAGCATCAATAGGAGAGAAAAATCTGTAGGTTTGGCAACAATACTCAGTGGCTACAAAGTAAATGAAAGTATATAATATGCTGTATCTCAAACTATGTTTTTTACTCTAGACATCCTGTCCAGACACCAGCCCTTGATTTCCCCTTCCTTGACACTAAGTACATAGATTTTTGTCTCTGTGGAAAAGCAAATACAAGAGTTCCTTTTGCCACCATTTGTATATATTAATCACCCATTTAGAGTGCTTCTTACTGTATCTTCCTGTAAGGTAAAGGCCTTAAGCAAGAAGTATATACATAGCAGCTACTAGAATGTATAACCATCTCTACCTTCACAAAAGGAAGCTGATGCCAAATTTTTAGCATTTGGCCCATCCTTTCAACTGATAGTGCTGATCCAATCAAAGCCAATAGCTTTGTTTGAAATAAGAGCACAGGAGAGAAGTATCATAAATCACAGAACTCTCAAACTAGTGTTTATCATTCTCCCAGTCTCCTGACTACAGTGACAAGCACCCAAGACCCTGTTAAATTTCTCTCAGCAGACCCATCTCTTGATTTAAGACTTGGAGCACCTGGGATTCGGTCCACTTTACCCTGAGCCTTCCTATACTCCATGTCATGAGGTTTGCTAGTTAAGCCTCTGTTCTGATGGTTTACCTGACATTCATTTAGCACTCACATCCTCCTTACCATTTCTACCACTTGCTGCTTCTCCTCCTCCTAATGCAAACTCTATTTAGTTACTATTGACAGAAATTTCTGCTTTAGGCTTGAGCACATCCTCAGATCACTCAGGGATTTTTGGAAACCCCGTTATGCCTCAAAAACCATTGTGTTGGATGCAACTGCAATGTTTCTTTGAACAGACATGGTGGATGACTCCCTAAGACCAATCTCCTCCTCAGCTGAAGAGATTTTCTTTGAATTCTGATTCACCTGCCTCACCCACCTCCTGGAAGGTCATAATGGAAGCTCATCTGAAGACCTGCTAGCATTATAACTGCCTAACAGGTCATTATCATATACAAGTACAGATTTTCAATTTACCAGTGACTGGGAAGTCTTCACAGGCAGGTAAAATATATAGTTTCATAATTACTTTTATCCAGTTCAATCTGCATATCTATTTTGCATATCCACACATGCCTTCCCATCCTTAAGCATACGTATGCCCATTCCTTAGTGAAAAGGTGGAAAAATCTAGGCCTATGTGCTCTCAGATTTGGTCTGTTTTTCAGCCTTGTTTATGGAAGTTAGAGAAGACTGAGGCAAAACTGTAGCCTTTTAAGGCAATCTACCTTCATTAAGACTAAGACAATAACTCATTCCCCCACTCCTAATCAAGTTAATCCTACCTTACCAGTGAATTTTCATGCTTCCCTAGTAAGTGCTCAAGTAACCAGCCTCAGCTTATCTGAAAAATCTAGATGTGTTGGCAACACCTGCATTTAACTTTCTGCTCAGAGCACAGGCACTAACCCAGCATAAGTATCATCATATGATGATCATTAGACTGTAAGTGTCACCCACTGGGAAATCAGTTTCTCTGACAAGGTAGAAGATTCATTCCATTAACCCTGGACATCTTTAACTATGACCATTTACCACAGACACAAGTAGCATCCTGAGGTGCACCAGCAGACAGAGGGGTCTCCAGCAAGGATGCTCCATCCAAAACAAAACCCCACCCCGAATCGAAATATACTAACCCTTTCCTCCTCCCTGCTACTAGAAAGATTCTTTCGTATCAATTATTCATGTGAAATTTGGTGTTTATATACTTTGGTTTTTTTTTTTTTTTTTTTCCAGATTCCCTTCTCTCCACACATGAAAATTAAAATACACATTTATTTTCCTTTGCTCTCTAGCTTTCTCAGGGCGCTGGCCCTGTCAGAGCCCAGAGCAGGATGCAGGCGGCTTCCCCCCACCCCGTCTCAGCCAGGACACGCTGCTCGCAGCGCGGATCGGCAGCGCCGCAGCAGCCCCCGCCGCCTCCGCGGCGCTGCCCAGACCCCCTCTGCGGCGACGGGGCCGCCCCAAGACCGCCCGGCAACCCCTCCGACTCCTTCCTCCCGCAGGGAGATGAGAGCATCCGAGCCCCAGACCCACCGCGGCCGGAGGGCCCCGAGACCCGGCCAAGCCGGAGCAGCACCCCACCCCCCACCTCGGCTTCCCAAGCCCTAGCCCCGCCGCGGCCGCAGCACCCCTCCTCCGCCACCGCCCTGCTGCAGCCAGAGCACCCCACGCACCTCCAGGCCCCGAATCCCGCCGCAGCAGGAGCACTCCCCTCCGCCCCGGGCCCCGCCGCGGCCGGAGCATCCCCCCCACCTCCGGGCCCTGAAGCGTGGCGCCGCTGCAGCAACCCCCGATCTCTCAGCGCCCCGAGACCCGGCGCGGCAGGAGGACGCCCCCCCCCCCCCCCCCCCCGACGCAGCTGGAGCATCCCCCTGCCCCAGTGCCCCGAGTCCCGCCGCGTCCGGATCACACCCCCCGAGCCCCCGCCGCCCCGGACCCCGGCCTCTCCTCATCACCCCCCCTTTCCCGGCGCCCCGAGCACCCTCCTCTCCCCCGAGCCCCAGCTCCACCCCGCCACAGCACTCCCCTCTCCCCCAGCGCCCCGATCATCCCATCAACCCCCGATGCCCCGAGCCAAGGCCGAAGCACCCTCCTCTGCCCCGGCGCCCCTAGCCCCGCCGCGACCGGAGCACCCCATCCATCTCCGGTGCCCCGAACCCTGGCCCGGCTGCAGCAACCCCCGCTCTCTCGGCGCCCCGAGACCCGGCGCGGCCGGAGGACGCCCTCCTCCCTCACCCCCCCCCCCGCCCCCCCCTCCCCGCCGCTGGAGCATCGTCCTGCCCCAGTGCCCCCATCCCCAGCACGGCCGCAGCGCACCCGCTCTCCCGCAGCGCCCCGACCCCCGGCCAGAGCAATCCACCCACCCACGGGCCCCGAGACCCGCTGCAGCCGGAGCACCCCCTCCCCCAGCACCCCGAGCCTGAGCCCCTGCCCCGCCGCAGCAGCAACCCGCCCCCCCCAACCCCCCCGCCTCCACCGTCACCCCGAGCCCCATCCTAGCAGCAGCTCCCCCCTCTTCCCCAGCGCCCTGAGCACCCCGCTCTGTCCGGAGACCCGCTGCGGCCGGAGCATCCCACCCACCTTCGGCGCCCCGGGCTCTGGCCCGGCCGCGCCGCAGCACTCTCCCTTCCCCCGGGACGGCCGCAGCACCCTCCCAAGCCCCGGTCCCGGCACAGCACCCCCCTCTACCCCGCCGCGGACAGAGCATCCCACCCACCCCCGAGCCCTGGCCCCGCCACGGCCGCAGCACAGCTCCTCTCCCGGCGCCCCGAGCACCTTAATCTCCTGCGGCGTCTCGGCCGCCGCCGCCCTCCCCTCCCCCCCCCCCCCCCCGCGGCCGGAGCGCAGCCCCCCTTCCCTCGCTGGCCCGAGTCCCGGCCCCGCCGCAGCACCCCACACACCCCCGGCTGCCTGACCGCCTCCATCTGCCCCGAGCCCCAGTCCCACCGTAGCACTTCCCCGGCGCCCCAAGCCCCGGCGCGGCCGGAGGACCCCCCGCAGCCGCGGCATCCCCCCGTGCGACTGGAGTGCAGCCCCCTCTCCACCGTCGCCCCAAGCCCCAGCCCCGCCGTGACCGGAGGAGCGCCCCTTCCCGGCACCCCGAGTCTCGGCCCCGCCGCATCATCCCACCCACCCCCGGCCCCTCAAGCACTTCCCCTCTCCCCCTAGCCCCGGTCCCGCCACAGCACCCCCCCACTCCCCCGGTGTCCCGGGTCCCACCGCGACCGGAGCATCCCACCTATCCCAGGCACCCCAGACCCCGAGCCCCGCCACGGCCGCAGCACACCCCATCCCCCGGCGTCCCAAGCACCCCCTTCTCCCCCCGCCGCAGCACAGCCGTCTCGCCGGGCGCCCCGAGCCTAGGCCCCGCCACGGACGGAGCACCCCTCCTCCCCCGGCGCCCCCAGCATCCCACCCCCCAGCCGGGCCCCGCCGCGGCCGGAGCGCGCCCCCACCCATCCCCGAGGCCCTGATCCCGCCACGGCCGCAGCACCACCCCCCCCCCCCCCCCCCCCGAGCGTCCCGAGCCCCAGCCCCGCCGCAGCACCCTGCCCCAGTGCCCCTCGCCCCACCGCGGCGGCAGCGCTACACCCCCCCCCCCCCCCCCACTTCACCCCCTCCCGCCGCCGCAGCACCCCTCTCTGCCCCGGCGCCCCAAGCCCCTCCGCGGTCGGAGAGCAGCCCCCTCCAGTGTCCCAAGCCCCGGCCCCACCGCAGCCTCCGACCCCACCACCGCCCCCACTCCCGAGCCGCAACCCCCGAACCCCCGGCACCCCGAGCCCCGCCGCGGCCGGAGCGCACGCCCACCTCCCCCGGTAGCCTCCACCGGAGACACCGACTTGTGACGTCCTCGGACGAAAAGCGCCCACGACGCCCCCTTCCCCGCACACCGTCCCCCCTTCCCCGCGGTGGGCTCTGCAGGAACCGAGACACCGCCTCCTCCCCTCGCAAAGCTACTTACAGGCTAGATCCGTGCTGCTCCGTGCATGATCCGATGGCTGCAGCCGGCCGTCTGGCTGGGACCGGGGGCCCTGTTAAATATGCAGTTGTACTCTCGCCTTCAGATTAGTTAGCCACTCACAGCGAGAGATATGGTTTTAATCAGATGCTGGCAGCTGAGGACTACCCAGGAATGTGCTATGATGTTTTTGCTGCTTGGTTTTGGCTACTCCCCCTCAACGTGTCGGTGCTCACAAGCTTAGCTTAACCCCTTGTGAGCCGCCGCTGCGGGTGGGGGGGGAGCTGGGGCCCGGGACAGCCCCCTCGCAGGAGGGGGTCGGAGGCCCACGGAGGACAAGCACGGAGGGAGTGGGGTATGAGACGGGGGGACGCTGGGGGGGCACGGAAACGTGGCGCCCGCTCTTTGTGGGGCACAGGTATTTATCCCCCCTTAGGCAGCAATGAGCCCGAAACGCTCTTCTAGAAAATGGGTCTTTTCGTGTATCTGTATAAATGTGCGTGTGGTGACGGTGTCAAAAAATCCAAGTCCAAACCCACAGCTTTTTTTTTTTTTTTTTCTGTTCCCAAAACCGCCAAAACCAAAATACTACTCACTTTCCACACACCATTCTCACCTGCTCCCCCGCCCCCCCCCAAAAAAAAAAAAAAAAAAAAAAAAAAAATCTGTGGCTAGCTGAACCAAAATATTGGGTCAGTGCAATTCAGTTTCTGGGTCACATCCAGACCTGACCTTTGTAGTTCTAATTCATCTTTATTCAAACATCTATCGTGTTTTGTTTCCCAGTGCAGTACAGCTGTTTTCCAACTTGTATGAAAGAGCCTCTGATAAAAAAACTCACATTTTTGTCCTTGTAGCAGAACTTTTTTTTTTTTTTTTCCTCAAGGCCGTAAACTTAACATAACATTTATTTTCTCAAAACAGTACAAAATATTTCTGTTCAAAACTGTGACATTGCCATCTGCAGCAATACCAAATTTTGAAAGGTGAAAAAAGAGCAACACTTTTCCTGCAGTTTTAATACATTTGACAGATATTTCTAAGTGTTTTTGAAGAAGGAAATATTTAATATAAAATTATTTTACTACTGGGGATTTCAGGGTTCAAAACTGGTGGATGCATTTTGTCATTATCCACATCCAAAGCTACCAAATGCTACAGTACTTACCTTGATGTGGTGTGGTACTCTTTTCTTATGAATAGCAAAAGTGGTAGGTGCCCTGTGCCTGAAGTGACTAAAAGCTGATAGTTGTCTCACTTGCCTGTACCTGTCTTTCATTTCCCAAGTGCTAATTTTAACCAAAAAGGACACAAGGGACACATTTCTATACACTAGCATAGTGTTCACGGAAGGAAGTGCATGCCACATAAGTGAGAAGGCATTTGCTACAATTAACAGGTTGCTGGCTACCCACATGTCGGTATTTGCAGGATTAGATCTGAATTCCTTGGGACACTGTTGTATTCATGTTTAACAATGTTGGGTTTGTACAGCTTGCCCTGCACTGTACATTGTTTTGAACACCTTGTGCTAGACACCTACCAGCAGGACTGGAACTTCTCGGTCCTGGGGCACTATGTATTTTAAAGAATAATACTTTGCTCAGCGTGCTTTGTGGGAGTTACACAGACTGCCTAACATGAAGGATGACATTGTGGCTAGTTTAAACACTGTGAAGTAACAAAGCAACTTCTATAAAGCAGCCCAGCCTGGTGCTGGCATAAACAGGATTGCCATTTGTGCTTTGCCCACCACAAACTCCAGGCACATTTCACTGAAATACCTTGACTAGTTGCACTAATAATTACAAACATGTTTTATACTATTAGTTGTTGAATTTGGAAGAAGTGAAAGTGCTTTTCATTTGCCAATACAGAGCAGTTTAAGAACCCTTTTGAGGTGCAATGAAATTACATCTGCTAGAGAAATGACAAGAGGTCCTTCACTACCTACCAGCATTTGGGCCATCACTAATAATCTCATGGAAAACTTTTTTATTGATAAATGGTTAATAACTAACTGGAAAAAAATTTACAGATTTCTTTGAGAATAAAAAATGTCTCAAGCTTTGAAGGACTTCACTACCTATTTTGTAATTCAGCTTAGAACGGCTTCCCTGATATCCCACATCCTTGAAGCAAATGCTAAAATCCAGAGCTGTTATATTAAATGTATGTTAATTAAACGATTGCCTTCTGAACGTAGGAGGAATCCAGGCAGAAAGCCCTCAGAAGTTCAGTTATTTTGTCTATACTGTGCTGCAGGATTTAAAGGGTATGCTTTACACTTTATGAAAAGTGAAAGGATTTTTATTTCTCTACAGTAAAACCAGAACCAAATGGACAATGGCTGCTATGACTTTAAGCCTGACTATTAAAAGATTATAGTAGAGAGAGAGTGCTAGGTTTTCCAGGATGGTTATTTTTCTCTTGTATTTGTTCTGTCTGATATTACTATTGCTGGCATAAGTTCAGTCCCTACTGAAGGTGTTGGGTTTTTTTAAGTTAACCAGTTATTTTACAGAACAGTGTCAGCCTCAGCACTTCTCA